AAAAAAAAGAAGGGAATTAGAGCATAAGAAAAAGGTACAAATGTAACAGAAAAATTATGACAGTACCAACTAGTTAAAACATTAATAAAAAGTCTTTAACAATAAGGACTAGTAAATCACAAATATTTACATGCCCAATTTATCTATTAACAAGTTAATGTGTAATTTTAAACATACCTGACTAGCATCCTTTATATGTATGTTGTCAACTAATTTGCATAACAACCAAAAATACTCTTTACATCCAGGTTTTAACACTGGTTCTTCTTCATAATCATCCATCTATTAATAAAAATTATATTTTGTGAAAATACTTTAAAATAGTAACACATTTAAGAAACGATAGGCTTTATGAAATTAAATCTCTACACAAATAAAATAATTTAAAATCTAACAAAACTGAGTACATTCCTACTTTCTGTAAAATCAAAATAATCAGAAGAGGTACATAAATAAATAACACCAGAATTTTTAGCAAATCCTACAACATATCCTATTTTTGAGATTAGTTAAAAATTTTTAATTAATGAGCTCTGGAACAACAGGTGTTGGCGAGGATGCGGGGAAAAAGGAACCCTCTTACACTGTTGGTGGGAATGTAGACTAGTACAACCACTCTGGAAAAAAATTTGGAGGCTACTTAAAAAGCTGGACATCAATCTACCATTTGATCCAGCAATACCACTCTTGGGGATATACCCAAAAGACTGTTACTCCAGAGGCACCTGCACATCCATGTTTATTGTGGCACTATTCACAATAGCCAAGTTATGGAAACAGCCAAGATGCCCCAGCACTGACGAATGGATTAAGAAAATGTGGTATCTATACACAATGGAATTCTATGCAGCCATGAAGAAGAACGAAATGTTATCATTCGCTGGTAAATGGATGGAATTGGAGAACATCATTCTGAGTGAGGTTAGCCTGGCTCAAAAGACCAAAAATCGTATGTTCTCCCTCATATGTGGACATTAGATCAAGGGCAAACACAACAAGGGGATTGGACTATGAGCACATGATAAAAGCGAGAGCACACAAGGGAGGGGTGAGGATAGGTAAGACACCTAAAAAACTAGCTAGCATTTGTTGCCCTTAATGCAGAGAAACTAAAGCAGATACCTTAAAGCAACTGAGGCCAATAGGAAAAGGGGACCAGGAACTAGAGAAAAGGTTAGATTAAAAAGAATTAACCTAGAAGGTAACACCCATGCACAGGAAATCAATGTGAGTCAATGCCCTGTATAGCTATCCTTATCTCAACCAGCAAAAACCCTTGTTCCTTCCTATTATTGCTTATACTCTCTCTACAACAAAATTAGAGATAAGGGCAAAATAGTTTCTGCTGGGTATTGAGGGGGGGAGCGGGAGGGGGTGGAGTGGGTGGTAAGGGAGGGGGTGGGGGCAGGGGGGAGAAATAAACCAAGCCTTGTATGCACATATGAATAATAAAAGAAAAATGAAAAAAAAAAAAAAAAGAGCTCTGGATTTATCATGTGGTAGAAAGAAACCTTTACAAGTCTGGTATATATAATGGGGAAGAAAAGAAAAATTAAAAAACAACCCTAATTGTGTTACTTAATGCAGGGAGCTACATTTATAGTATTTCTATCAATCAGAAAGAAGGCCCAGAAACTCAAAAGGAACACTTTTTCCAAAACAGAATACTCATAACAGAGTCCACACAGCTAAAGTTAAAAACACAGATTCTCTTACCAGTTGTAACATGGACACAATGTATCACAATGTTGTCACTTTTAAGAACTATATGACTATTATCCTCAAAGTAAAAACTACATGGAAAAACCATAGGATATAGTACAATGAGATAAAGGGCAAAGGAAATTACAGAAACAGAAATCTCCTCCTCAACACGGTAAATCTTACCCTGATAGGTTTGAGTGCTTGAGCATCAGGAAGAAATTTCAACAATGTTGAGGCAGCCAAAAGTAGAAAAGAGCGATGGATTGAGTCTCCCCCATCTAAGCCTGACAGGGATAATTTATAGAGTCCATTGCAAGATTCATGACGAACTGCAGTCTAAATTAAAAAGATAAATTCCAGAGTCAGTATGAGTTATTATTAAAAAAGCTAATGTTGAGCTGGGGATGTAACTCAAGGCAGAGCACTTGTCTAGCATGGGAGAGGCCTTGGGTTACATCCCCACCACTACTTAAAAAAAAGAAGACGACGACCACAAAATGACAATATGTTAGCAGAAGTAACTTTACAAGACTTCTTTAGAAATTTATTTATTTACTTATTAATTTTGCAGTGCTGGTTATTGAACCCAGGGCCTTTTTTTTGCTGGGTAAATGCTTTTCCACTGAGCTACATTCCCAGCTCTAGCAATATATCTTAAACACAATGCTCTGATAACATATACACATGCATGTAAATAACCTATGATCATATAAAGTATCCAGTAATAGTTTTTTAATAGAAATGTGAGTACGGCCATAAAAACAGAAAACAAAAATAAGCAAAACACAAAAACAATAAACAAATACAAAACGGGATTAAAGAAAGGATATTCAGAACTGAGTTATTTATGACATAACAAGATAAAATATTTTCAGAAATAGAAGCAATTTAGAAAGTCCTTAAATCAGATCATTTTACAGATTCTAAGAGAACTGTGCAAAGGTCACAATCAAGATGAGACCTAGAACAAAGCCAGAAGAATACATACGGCATATTCAACCTAAAGCCAACACAAGTAGACAAGGCTGACTAAAAAAAAATGCTACTTTAAGGATAAGTGTATTAATAAAGAGCTGTATTTCTACAGTTTCACTTAGGAATTGAAAACTATATTGCCCCAGTGCCAACACAGAAAGCAAAATATATTTGATTTATTGATTTTTCATCTCTTTTGCCTCTGTTTCTAATTAAATGGAAAAAGAAAAAAAATTTTTTTTTCTAAACTATAAATTACCAAAGTAAATGCTGAAACTTTTCCCACCTCTTAGAAAAAAAAAAAAAGGTGCTGAGAATTGAACCCAGGCCTACATCATACTAGGCAAGCATTCTACCACTGGGCTACATCCCCTAAATCCCTGGGAAAAGAAATTAAAAAAAAAAAAATTACAAAGCAAAATAGTCACTCTTTAAGCAAACATTTCAGAAAAGACAAATGTGAGTGCTATAGTTGTAGATAGTACCAAACTCTAGACCTAAAAGAATTAAATATTTTGATATATTTAGGGAATTATGCACAATTGTTCCCATTCACTGTTTTTAAATTAACAATGCTAATAATATGAAAATATATGTGGAAGAGTAAAAGCACTAATCTTCAATCTTTATCTTACCTCAGGAATAAGAAGAGTCAATTTCTTCAACCAATCTTGTAAATGATCACTATCAGCAAGGCTAGATTTCACTAAAGAACAGCAATGAGCCCAGCTTACCAAGAGCCACATTGAGTAATGTGAAACTAAAAAAAATAAAGAAAAGAAAAAAGAAAAAGTATGACTATATAGGCTTATGCTAAAGAGAACATGCAATACTACTAAAGATATATCACTATATCTATTATTACTACCATTATGAAAATGAACTTTGTGGAACCCTTACCTTCATGTCTAGACCTGTGATCAGACTGAGCTTTCAAAACTCTGTAAAATAAAAACATACCACCACCACTAATTAATATCATATAAAGTTTATAACTTGCCCTAAACAGATTAAATTTAAAGAAAATCATGTATTTACTTGTTTTATGGCATTACTTATTTTAAAAACCACTGGTAAATAAAACTCAAAAAAATGAAGAGTAAAATGATGGTTCCAGAGGCAGGAGGAAGGGGGCAGGCAGAAGATAAAGAGTTGTTGGTCAAAGGGTAGCAAGTTTCAGACAGACAGGAAGGACAAATTTTAAGATCTATTGCAGAGCAAGATAACTACAATCAATAAAAAAGTCTAAGGGTATAAATCAGAGGTAGACTCTTACCTACCATGTGTAAGGTCTCACATTAGATCCTCTGTATCACAATACACATATAAAAAAGGTATATTTCAAAGTGAAACAAAAATGGCTTATTTCAGTAAATAAAGCTTGAATGAACATTGAAGTTAAGTGAACCCTCAAAAAGGCTCATGCCTGTAATCCTTGCTACTTGGGAATCTGAGATTGGGAGGGTCAGGGTTCAAGGTTAGAAGTTACTGAGACTTCATCTCAATCAACAGCTGGGGGGAAGGGAGGGTACAGTGGCATGTGCCTGTCACCCCAAGCTACCTGGGAGGCTAAGACTTGGAAGATAGTGGTCCTCAGCTAGCCCAGGCCAAAATAAAAGTTAGGGAGACTCCATCTCAGTGAGAAAAGAGCTCTGTGTGGTAGCATGAGCATGGCATTCCCACAGTCTAGGCCAGCTTGAGCAAAGAGCAAGATCATACATCCAAAATAACCAGGGCAAAAAAAAGGGTGGAGGACTGGCTCAACTGGTAGAACACCTGCAAATCAAGCACAAGGCCCTGAGATTAAACCCAAGTGTGTCCCCCGAAAAAAAGTTATTTTTCATTTTTAACAAAACCAATAAATAGGGATTATTTGCCCTACAAATTCTGTTTACAAAAAAATACTGATCTATAGAATACTTATTTTCTAACAATTAACAAAATACCCTTCAAAATTTCAAAAAACCAGCTGGGCACAGCTGTCCAAGCCTATAATTCTAGCACCAAGGCAGACTGATAAGGCAGCAGGATTTCAAATTTGAGGCCAGCCTGGGCTATATATAGTGAGATCATGTTTCAAAGGAAAAAAAAAAATCAAAATCTAAGACTGACTCATTTTATTCACTTTAAACAACAAAAAGAAGCTGATACATATAATTCAAGTATATGACCATGTTTCACGTTTAGCTTTTAACATACAGGTAAAAAATATTTAACTTTACCAAAAGCAACCTATTCCTCTCTCTTTTAATTTTAATGCTCACCTAAGCATTAACACATTTTTAATATGTTTTTAATAAATGTAGCCACATTAGGTTGAGAACCTATGAAAACATCATAGCACAGAAGCGGACTTGAGAAAGCACCAAGGATTGAGGGAGATGAACTAATATTGCAAAGAATGTAATGGGCTCTACTAGAACGGAACTGGTTAAACTCTTAGCTTAGTAAGTCATTTGGGTACAACTACCAAGTTCAGTCCAACAAAACAACTACTGGAATACTTGGCAATTAATTTTTCAGTTAAACATAATTTATGTGACTATATAAAGCAGTCAGGTTTCCATGTATTAATCAGCAACCACTTTACTTGAATCTTTATTATTAACATTTTCTATATTTTAAAAAATGCCCAAAATAATCCAAAGAAATAGCTCTGTCTACTGAGAGCTAGAAGCAATAACACATCAAAACAATGAACATACCAAATCCCAACATTTTCAAGGTTTCCCACCAATAGAAACTAGAATCTTGTTTATAAAAATGGTTAATTCAGGACTAGGGCAGGGAATAAAATAGCCTAGAAGATACTGTAGTGACATTTAGAAAAAGAAACCCCATTTCATCCTCAAATCATAGGGCTATGTGAAGAGGTCACATCAACAAGAGGTTTCTAGTAGCCAACCCTGATACAGTTTAAGCAAAGAGAATAATGAAAGAAATGAACTAAAAGATACTGAATGGAAAAAAAAAAAATCCATGAATCCAAATCTATAGTTAACTACATAAATAAAATGGAGGAAACTTTTCCTTATAATAGAATGTCAACTAATAAATATGAAAGAAACAGTTAAGTTAGAAAATCAGCATTTTGCAAGCATTATATTAATATTTAAGCCAGATACAAATCAGCAAGAAACCAGGAGTGGGAAACCAGACAATCAAAACTAACATTATTAATAGTGGGACAAAATGACATCATCAGGATATACTGCAAGAAACATATTATTTATGAAATGTTCTTGCTAGAAACATATCATACAAATGTAATCATGAGTAGCAACAGAAAAATTTGCTATAAAAAAACTGGCTTGGGGCTGGGGATTTACCTCAGTGGTACAGCACTTGCCGAGCATGTGCAAGGCCCTGGGTTTGATCCCCAGCACACCACCACCACCACCACCAAAAAAAACAACTGGCCAGTACTATTCGAACTGTCAATATTATGAGTGAAAGGCTGAGAAAAGTATCCTTGCTTGAAAAAAAAAAAAAAGGCAACACATGATCCTGGACTAGGAAAAAAACTTATAATGAATAAAAACACCAGTTCCCTTCCCCAATACTAAAGAGATTAATTTGGGTATTTTCTTTACTAGATAATATATTGTTAAATTTTATTACTTTGAAAAGTTTTATTCTAGTTTTTAAGAAAATGTCTTTGATTTTAGAGCTATACATCAAAAGTATTTTCCAGGTAAATAATCATGATGCTTGCAACTCACACTGAGATTCAGAAAGCATGTTTAGTGAAAACATGATAAATCTTGGCTAAATGTTGGTAATATATATATATATCTATATATATATATAGATATATATATAGATATATAAATCTAAGTAAAAGGTATGACAGTTATCAAATCCAAATATTCTTGTTTAATTTTAAATGTTTTCAAAATGAAATTGTAAACCATCATATTGCTAGTGCAACTGTATACACATGTATAACATGAAAAATTCATACCTAGGAGCCAGATTATCATATGTATAAGCAACAGACATAAGCCGCTGAATCAAACTGGTTCCTTGGACAAGAACAAGAAACACCTTTAAAACAAAAACATAAGGAAAAAAATCTTTGAATGCAGCAAAACACATTTTTATTTTATTTTATTTCCTTTTTTTTTCAAATAGGATTTTGCTGTGGACCTCACAATCCTCCTGCCTCAGCCTTGTGGATACTGGGATTACAAGTGTGTACCACTATATCAAGTTATAAAGTATATTTTTAACTTGATTCCAAATTCATGACGACATAAAGAATGTCCTTAGAATTATTTGAAAATACTTTTAAAACATCAAATATTAGAAAAATCAGAATTCTGAAACCACATTTAACAGCAGCAACTTTAAAATGGCAAAACTGAAAATTAAGAAATAAAGGCAAAAGTAGTCTTTATATTTGATCCACAGATTCACTAATGTCACTGAATTGGGTGAAAAGAATACTATGTGTTATATATGTCAATGGTTCACATGAGTTAAGTGAAAAATTAAACTTTTTTTTAACTTTTGAAATAAGAAAATGCATTAAAAGGTAGTGTTTCTTTTTTGGGTTTCTTCTAGTGGAGCAGATAGCTCTGCAAAAAAGCAGTGCAGCACAAGCATATACAATGTGCTAAATGAGCAAAACAGAAGAACGTACCAACCAAACTGTTCCTGGCAGAACTAGAAAGCTTCCAGAAAAGGTGATGTCTAGGATGGGATTTGAAAGCAACTTCCAAAATGGCTAGTAACAAGACCAAATGGAATAAGCCATGAGAGTAAATCTATTAATGAATTACTATTCTTCCTTACCTTCTTTTACCCTTCCTTACTATCCTTAACATATCAAAATTAGAAGACTTAGGAAAGCTGAAAAAGCCTTGTGAAGATGGAGGTAGAAAGTATGCCATGGCTGAAAAATAAGTGCAGCCAGTAGATGCTGGAGGAGGTAGAAAAATCACTGAATCACACATATTAAGACTACAAAATATGCTCAATTTATTCATCTCTCACAGAAGATGTACTCCCACAGAAGGCCAGAAAGGAGCCACAGAGCACTTACTTTAAAATGCCAGGAATAGGATTATCAAGCCAGATAATATTTAAAAACTGGACAAACAAAAGGGGGGAGGGGGAGGATTTCAGAAGGCCTGAAGAGCGAGAAAGAAAACTATTGCCAAGAAGTTGGATTTTGAAAGAATGGAACTTCCCTGGGTATAACCATATTTATTAAGCTTTACAACTGCAGGGAAATGGATGGATAGTACTCAAGTAGAAAGTTATAGTAACTAGAAAGCAATAGTAACAGAAAGGTCAAAAGATGGAGGTTAATGCTTCCTGAGCTAATAGAAAGAGAAGAGGGAAGATCTAGGAAATGAGGAAGCCCCTAAATGTGCATATGAACATCACATTTGGGAAAGTAAAAACAATGAGGATGATAACTGAGCAGAGAGTTTAATTTACCCACTGCAAGGGAGATAATTGGATGTTTAAGTGGACTTCCCCCCAAAATAAAAAGAATACTCTATAGAACAAAACAATGTAAGTCTCTACAACATGTCAGTCTGAAAATGCAGTACATAATAATTATTAGATTCAGAAAGAAATAGGAAAGCATGACTCATAGTCAAGACAACAGCAGTCAATAGCTACTAAACCTGAAAGGTTCAAATGTTGAACAATACAAGAGTCTGAATGGATGCATTAAATCTGTTTCAGAATGTAAGAAAACAATGTCATAACAAACAGGTAGAAAAACTAATGTGATGCTAATGAAAGAATAAAATGAAAATTCTACAATTGAACAATCGAAAATGAAAACTTCCTCAAAGAGGCTTTAAAAGGAAACTGGAGACCACAAAAGGATCAGTGAACTTGAAGACAGATTATTATTTGAAGATAGACTATTAACAGAAATTATCTAATCAGAAGAACATAAGAGAATAAGGATAGGATAATCACTTGGGCCTCAGAGACTTGTGGGATAATTTTAAGTGTTATAAAATGTATGTAATGGTGTCCAAGCTACAATGGTCAAACAAACAAGTTAAACATTCCTAAAACCTGCCAGACTGTAAGAGGTGTGGCAAGCATTAGCCATAAAAAGTGACACAGACAAGAAGGTCAAGGATTCTTTGTATGCCCAGCAGCATTGTGACAGGAAGTAGAGTGACTATGATACAGACCAAGTGGATTTTCTGGGAAAATGTGAAGTCTACAAGAAACAATACGCTGAGGCTTGAACATGTTGAGACCAACTGCAGATCTAAGAGAATGCTAATAGTAGAGATAAAAAGAGAAAGGGGCAAGTGATCCAGTTACAAGCTTAATTATTCAATTTATTATGAAGACAATTCAATCAGGTTGAAAAAAATGGAGAACTTAGGCTCCAGAATTGATGCAACAGAAGTTTTTACACCTATAGAGCTCTGATATACATACTAAGCTTTAATTATTTTGGCTAATAGATTAATGCCAAGAATATACAGTGTAACTATTTTCTAAACTATAAAATATCTAATATTGGTATGTGCTTACAGAAAGCTCTGAAAAGGTAACAAGGGTATTAACGGTAGTAGTTAACTATGACTAAGTGGAAGTTCATTTGTATATTTTCAGTTGTTTATAATAAGTATGCAGTTGCATATATTTTAACAATAAATCACTTTATAAGCTCCATAAAGGTGTATATTTCACATTTACATACATTACTCAAATCTCAAAAATACCAATACTGAAATTATTTAGTGGATTAAGAGGGAAAAAAATCACAATCAATTTGAACATTCACATCATAACCTGGAAGGTTTACTCTGGAAAAAAAAAAACATAATGGAAACATCACAACATTACTAGCATAGTAGTTCACAGTATACAACACTGTGGAATGTATTTAGATTACACATTATGTCCCATTGTGTTTATCAAATATAAATGAATACTGGTAGAAATCAGTTTTTCCATTTTACTCCTAAAATTGCAAGAGAAATATTTTTCAGGTTTTCATTTATATCAGTAGTTTCCAAATCTTATGTTTATCACCATATTCCCCTATATATTAACAATTCATTGTTCCCATGTTCTTGGGCAGGTATTAGGGAAGGTGGTCTTCTCAAAAAGTTATATAATGAGGGCTGGGGGCTTGGCACAAGTGATAGAGTACTTGCCTAGCATATTCGAGGCCCTAGGTTTAAGTCCCAGCACAGCAAAAAAAAAAAAAATTACAGAATGACAAAGAGAATATAATAAAAACCATTTTCATCTCTCTCCTAGTTTACTGACAGAGATGTGGGACAGGCAAATACTGGATTACAAAAACAACAAAATCCGCAATAAAAATGAATTATATTTTTACTGCTAGATGTGCTAGTTATCATACTACTTTCTTTCATCCCTAAATTCACCCTTTGTCTATTAGGACTAATATATCACACACCAAATTCTTGGTTCTCCTTATCTGAGACACTACACAGTCGGCTTGCCTTTCTTTTTTTTTTGGTTTTAACTAAGGGCTTCACACTTGCAAAAGCAGGCATTCTACCATGAAGCCACACCTCCAGTCCATTTTGCTCTCATTATTTTGGAGATTTGGGGGCGGGGGGGGGGGAAGAAGAGGGGCTGTATCTTTTAAACTATTTGCTCAGGCTGGCTTTGAACCACGAGCCTCCTGATCTCAGTCTCCGAAGTAGTTAGGATTAAAAGTGTAAGCCACTAGCACCCAACTTCCTTGCTTTTCTTGTCATCATTGTTCCCTAAGTATTTTACCCAGAAGAGGCAGCTGGTTTCATCCTTCAGGGACTCCTATTACCAGCTTTTATTATGTGTTCTCTAAAAATCCAGCAGCCAAAATGCAGAACCACTTTCTCAAAAGACTAAAACCAAGTTCAATAGGATCTCTTCTATAAGCTTCTGGTTCCTTAATAACTGTAACACTTTCCTATATTTCTCAAGCTATAGGTGTGGTGAATGGTTCCTCATCCAGGTTACCTCACATCCACCCTTCTTTTTTTTTTTTTTAAACTTCCTTAGCACTCTAACACACACTCACAAAATCAATTTCCTGGGTTTGGGCATGGCTCAAGTGGTAGAGTACCTGCCTAGTAAGCCTGAGGTCCTGAGCTCAAACCCCAGTACTGACTTCTAACACCCTAAAATAAAGAAAAATAAAATAAATTTCCTATTTCAAATTTCCTGTATTGAAGTAACTAGTATGGTTTCTATTCCACTTAGTATGTAAACTACTAAGTTCAAGTAACTGGTTCAAGTAAATGGTTATAAATGTAATTATAAAATTAGATAATATTAAAATGGTACATTATGCCTTCATCTTGGATGAAGAAATGAAAAGGACTACTGATTCCTCATTATAACCACATCAAAACATGTTACCACTTTAAAACTATAGGTGCTAGGTCATATCACAGTAATCTAGGATAACATTTGTTATGTATTAACAGTATTCCTTCACTTTGTGAAAATAAGAATAATGTTCTCTCCAAACATAAGTGGAATTCCTTACTACAATTTAATGCTAAATTTCTATACTTTACCTCTGTTAATCGTGGTATATGAAGACCCTTGGCGTGATCACCAGCAGCTTTCCTTGATTTGCCAGGCCAGGTTCTTTTCCTATGGCTTTCTGCTATACCAGACCAGGCAAAGACATCATGATAAGCTAAATCCAAATCAGATGGGTCTACTGCAAACTGGCAGATTAATTTCAGCAAGCAAGCAAGACAGTCTAGCTGCCACTGTGAATGAGAAAAAAAAAGTCATTTCTCTATTTTCATTAATACAATATGGTCACTATATAATTTGGAAATTAAAGCATAAGAAAAGAAAACTAATTATAGCTAGTCTTAATGTGCTGTAAAAATGTTACTCAAATGTTATGGTTAGTAATAGTCCAATATTATTAAAAAATGTAGACACTAAGAGGGTATCTATAATGAATTTATTTCATAGTTACCATAAAAATGTATGTGTTCAATGAAGGATTTCTGGAAAAATGTACTGCACAAAATGCACTATAATTTAAAAAATTTATTCAAGCCAAGTTTTAGTGGCTAATGCCTATAATTCTAGTTACTTGGGAGGCTGACATCAGAAGGATCGAGGTTTGAGGCCAGCTCAGGGAAACAGTTTGAGAGACCCAATCTCTAAAATAACCAGAGCAAAATGGACTGAAGGCATGGCTCAAGCAGTAGAGTACCTGCTTTGCAAGTGCAAAGCGCTTAGTTCAAATGCCAATCCCACCAAAAATAAATAAATAAATAAAACTTTAAAAATTATTTAAAATACAAAAGGGATAGAATTTAGTCATCAATCAAATGGACTGAGAGACAAAGTATTAAAAACTGTTTCCTCACACTGGTGGCACATACTCAATATTTTGGGACCAAATCAGTTTTCAACAGCTGAAGAAAATAATTCAGCTGAGAATGCTGCACTGGTTTACCATACATACATTTAAAATAAGAGAAATACTTCAGTAAAATATTAAGTACTTGGTATGAAGACAAAATCTACAACTGATTTCAAGTTCAAAATTCTTTCTTTAAATAAATTAATTACCATTATCACTTATGTATGAGATGAGACTTCTACCTTTCACTCACTACAATAATTATTGGCCTCCTGATTCCAATGCTAAGTGGTGGACCTCTTTCCATCTTCCAGTAAACAGCATTCCTCTCTTAGTAAAAGCAATACTGTATCACTGAATTTCAAGAAAGTTAACAAGATAGGGCTGGCAGAGTGGCTCGAGTGGTAGAGCACCTGACTAGCAAGCGGGAAGCCCTGAGTTCAAACCCCAGTACTGCAAAAATAAATAAATAATAAAGGCAACAAGACAATTCAGAGAAGGAAGAAATGTCTTTTCAATAAATGGTATTAGAAAAACTGAATGGCTGGGCTGGTAGAGTGGCTCAAGTGGTAGAGTGCCTGCTTAGCAAGCATGAGGCCCTGTGTTCAAACCCTAGTACTGCCTAAATAAACAAAAGATTTGCATTGTACAGTGAGTCACACCTATAATCCCAGCTACTTGGGAGGCAGAGATCAAGAGGATGCCAGTTCAAGACCAGCCTGGGCAAAAAGTTAGTGAGACTCCATCTCAACAACAACAAAAAGCTGGGTGTGGTGGTAGATGCCTGTTTTCCTAGCTATATGGGAGGCATAAGTAGGAGGATCATGGTCCAGGTTATCCCTGGGCAAAAAAACCAAACCTTATCTAAAAAATAAGGCAAAAAGGGCTGGGGGCTTTGCTCAAGCAGTAAAGCACCTATTTAGCAAGCATGAGGCATAGAAGTAAAAACCCAGTATCACCAAAAATTAAATACTTGGGCTGGTGGCATGGCTCAAGCTGCAGAGTGCCTGCATAGCAAGTGCAAAGGCCTGGGTTCAAAGCCCAGTACTGCCAAAAAACCAAAAAACCGAATAGCTATATAAAAAAATGATAAAACTAAACCTCAATTTAACATATACAGAAGTTAAATAAAAATGCATTATAAGGCGGGAACAGTGATACATGCCTCTAAAACCACCTACTGTGGAGACAGGGAGGTTTGAAGTCATGGACACAAAGTTAAGTGAGACCCTGTTGCAATCAATAAGCCTGGTGTGGTGGTGCATGCATGTGATCTCAGCTACATGGGAAGAGTAAATAGGAGAATCACAGTCCAAGCCAGCCTAGACAAAAATGTGAGACACTACCTGAAAAATAACTTAAACCAAAAAGGGCTAGGGATATAGCTTAAGTGATAGGGCACCAGCCTAGCAAGTGTGAGGGTGAGTTCCATAAAGGTATAGAAGAGAACACAGGAGAAAAAAAACCTCTGGAACCTTAGATTAAAGGTTTTGCAGATCTGATAGAAATTTCAATAAAATTAAAAACTTTTCTTAAATGATATGTCAATATAATGACACAGACGGTAGTTGAAAAAAAGATGTGTCCAAACTGGTAAAAGGGGGTGGGGGAAGATATCTTACAATGGTATACAAACACACAAAAAGAACAAATGTGTGGATAATTCACTAAAGAATATAAACACATGGTCAATGAGCACAGGAAAATATATAAAGCATCACTAATCATCAGGAAACGAACAAAGCACAACCACCATGAGGTAATAATACAAACTCTCTCTCCCCACCCCGTCTCGGTTTTTTGTTTTTGTTTTGCAATCCTGGAAATGGAACTCAGGGCGTCATGCGTGATAGGCAAGTGCTCCATAACTGAGCTATATTCCCAACTCCAGAATGAATCAAATTTTAAACTCTTGACCATACTAACTGGTGAAGATATACAGGAAATGATACTCTGGTATGTTCCATGCTTTGGAAAAGAGTAGACAGCTTCTGATAAATTTGAGTTTTACACTATAATACTTAGCAATTTCATTATCTGTTATCTTCCCAAGAGAAACAGAAACACATACAAAAAGACCTATACATGAACGTCTTGTGCAGCTTTAATCTTAATAATCCAAAATTGAAAATTCAAATGTCCATTAGTACATGAGTACATAAGCAAATTGTGGTATAGATATATAATAAATATATTATTCAGAAATAAAAACTAACAACTACCAATACACATTCACCAATATCAAAACACATTAACATAAAGACAGATACAAAAGCGTACGTATGGCACTGTTACAATTATATGAAATTCTATAAAATGAAAACCTAATCTATAATAACAGAAACAGATTAATAGTTGCATAAGGGTGGTTTGTTGGAACAGGGGAAGAAACTGATTGCAAAACAGCAGGATAGGACTTCTGAGGTAATGAAAATATTTTATAGCTGGAAGATTAAACAAGTATAGACGTTTTCCAAAACAACAACTATCTCTTGAAATGTGTATAGTTTACAGCATAAAAAGTATATGGCAACCTTACAACACATACAAAAATTCACTTAAAATGGATCAAAAACTAAATGTGAGAGCTAGAATTAGAAAACTCTTAGAAGAAAACATAATCATCAATCTTCATAACCTTGGATTTGGAAATTATTTTTTTATATGACACCATAAACACCAAAGGAAGAGACATTTGACTTTATCAAAATTAGAAACTTCTGCCTGGGTATGGTAGTACACATTTGTAATGTCAGCACTCAGGAGGCTAAGACAGGAGGATCAAAAGTTTGAGACCAGCCTGAGTACACAGTGAGACCCTGTCTCATAAATCAAAAACTAAAAGAAAAAAGAAAAAATTTTATATATTACAGAGCAACAAAGGAAAAAGTTAATATATTTGTAAATCACACATCTGCTAAAGAAATAAAATATTTCTAAAACACATAGCTACTAAGGAATTGGTATCTAAAATATATAATGTGCTCTTACAACAAAATACAACCCAATTAAAAACAAGCAATGGGTTTTAATAGACATGTATGGAAAGAAGATCGAAAATGGCTAATAAGCACATGAAAAGTTGTTTAATTACTCATTAAGGTATATATACGGTATCACTTCACAAGCACTAGGATGGCAGAAATCTAAAAGACATACAATAATAAGCCTTCGCAAAGATGTGGACAAACTAGGACCCTCACACATCTGTGTAACTATTTGGAAGTTTCTTTAAAAATTTAACATAAAAAGAAAAAAAATTAAACACAGAGTTATCATTGGGCCCAATAACTGATTTCTATGTACATACCCAAGACAAGATTATTCTTAGCAACATTACTAAAAGTAGCCCAAATATGGAAACAATGCAAAAAAGTCCATCAGCTGATCTCCTCCCTGGATTCACTGGTAACTGAAAAGATGTTTCACCCAAGAAGGTGACATATTTTTACACATACTATACTACACACACACACACACACACACACACTCACACACAAGAATGGTCATAGGTGTAGGAAAAGATGCTCAAGATCATTAATATTCGATAAATGTAAATTTTAAAAGCACAGTGAGATATGATTTACCACCCAAGAGACTATCATAAAAAAAGAAGGTAAGTGTTTGATAAAGTTTGTCTGCTTTACATTTATTCGAAGCAGTAGATTTACTCTCCCTTATTATAATGATGAATGTAGCCAAAGTTATACTTTGCTGATGGAAACAGAAGTCCTTCAAATTGATGATGAAATAATACTGTAATTGGTTGAAACAGTAAATTTTAACTTACCACAGTCCATGATTCCTGTTCTTTAGGCTCTAGAATTGCAGAATTAAAAATTTCTAGTAACTGTTGAAGCCCACCAGCAGCAACAAACTGTAAGCAATTGTGAGAGAAATGGTAAGACAAAAGCTGTTGCATATGTAATGATAATCTGCTTATCGACCCAGTAAGTGAATAGTTGTAAAATGTTACATTTCATTTAGAAAATTACTTTCTTTAAATCACCAATATATGGTATATAAAGTCTAAACATGTCTTTATGTTCTATTAGTCATTTACAAAATTCCAGACATTTGTAGCTCAGGTGGTAAAGTACCTGACTTCCAAGCACAAGGCCTTAAGTATTGTGAAGAATAAATAAAAAATAAAAAATAAGAATCGTGGACACTGGGATGTCCTAACACAGTATTTCAATGTGTATGGGGAAGGAGTGGGGTGGGATGGGTAGGTCAATGTTAAGAGCACAAAGACATTAAATAATCTGTTTATATACTGTGACTTAGAGTAAAACGTAAGTTTTTTTTTTTTCTCTTTTCTTTAAAGAGTCATTTTTGTTTTGGTTTGGTTTTGGTTGAACTCAGGGCCTCATGCTTTCAAGGCAGGAGTTCTACTGCTTGAGTCACTCTGCCAGCCCAAATTTAACTGTTTTATTTTAATAGTAAACTAGTTTAAAAATGATGAAGGTTTATAGTACCCAATTTTGGGAAAATGTAGTTAAATTATTTTTACCAATACATTACAAAATAAGTATGATCAAACCTTGCAACTCCAGGAATTTTTACTATTTTCCACTTGATCCTCACTTGAATCATCAGAATCTGGATAAAGGTCACTATAACTTCCCTGTCGGAAAAGCAATAAAAAAAAAAAAAGGAACAGAAAAAAGAAAGAAATAAGAATAAGGGGGGATGCCACAAGGAAAAAATTATTCTAGAATGAAAATATAATATATTCTGGAACTCTGCTCCAGAAGAGAACACAAATGATAATAATGCAGCTGTAATTACCGTTGACTCTCTCCTTATTCTTCTGTTAGGTTTTCCCAGTGCTTCAATAATTTCCAGAGCATATAACAGCTTATGAGCACTCTTAATTTTGAGAAGTTCCTTCCAATTAAGTCCATCATTACTCTTAAGTTAAAAAAACAAAAACAGGTTTCTCAAGCCAACTTACTAAGGGAACCCAAAAGAGAAAAACTGCAGAAACAAAACACTATATCCAAACACAAGTATTACATATACTGTAAAACACATCTGAATATATGAAGACCAAGGGTATAACTGATATTAATAACATACTTAATGCACCACTTATTCATTAAATTTTATTAAAACAAAACCGATAAAATATACAAATAGTACCATGCGAAAAATAATTTAGAAGCATTCTTAGGCAGGCACTTTACCAACTGAGCCACTCCACTAGCACCATTATTATTGTTGTTATTATTAACATTTTTTTTGTGGCACTGGAGTTTGAACTAGAGGTTTTGTGCTTGCAAAGCAGGCACTCTATCACTTGAGCCATACCTCCAGTCCATTTTTCCTTTCCTAGAGCCCATTTTTTTTTGTTTCCCAGTCACCTGATATAGTACCTTCTGAAATCACACAAATAGTGTTCCAAATCAAAGTTAATAGCATAACATTGTTTCTAATTATTTTTTAACAGTTCTATTGGAGATCTCCATAGAGAAACTCTTATTATAAAGCTTTAAAATATAGTCTTTAATTGTAAACAGATCTCTCTTATATTGTGTGAGGTGATACCAATAGGGGACAATTGTTATATACATATTAGTAAATGCCTAATTTTCCCTTAATTCTGTTAGTTCATTTGTAATAAGCATCCAAAGCAAGCAGTGATGTAGTTCATGTCATGAAGGTATATTATATCTAAATATTACTTTTTATTGTCAAAAACAAATATTCAAAACATACAATAAGAAAAAAAGAGCACAAAGATAACTCCTTTGGATTGTCACTCAACTTCCCTACATGAACGAATGGACATTCAAATGAACTCAGACTTTTTACCTATGAAATGGGCAAAAATTACATTCACATTCACTGAAGGTAGGAGTCAATGACAGATAATCTCATATACTTCCAGTAGGAATGTAAACTAATAACATCCTCCATGAGAGGGCTCACCTGTTCATCTGAGATACTCTGGAATGCCATCAACATGTTAGGACATGTAGGAAGAAGCATCAACAGCTCCCAGACACGTCTAGACAGATTTTCTGCATGAAGATGAAGTTCTTCACATCTTAAGCTCTATACAAACAAGAACAACTATTTAGTCAAAACAGATCAGAAAACAATTCTAACTTAAGTTCAACTGTTTTGCATTATCAAATCTCCTAATTTTCTAGCCTCACTTTAAAAAAACCTGAAATCAAACATGTTACATGTTAAATGGAACATATTGAAGAAAATGAATAGCTATGTAAAAGCAGTTTTTTAACTTCTTATGAACATTTTTCTGCAACAACCTTCCTCTAAGGCTGAACACTTTCCTCAGGAAACATTTCAACTAGAAGCAAAACCAATTGTTTCATAAGGCGATTCAAGGGAATTTCAAGATGATCATCTATTTCTTCTTGTAGCTCACTATCCTAGGGACAAGGAAGACAGTGAATTAAATTCTTAACCTCCCATTTTTAAGTAGAGATTAAGGGAAAGCAAACAATTTGTTGGGCTAGTGCTGTGGCTCAAATGGTAGAGCACTTGCCTAGAACCATGAGGCCTTGAGTTCAACCCTAGTACTTATCCCACCTCAAAAAAAAAAAAAAAAAAAAGTTAAATAGTACCTGAATAAGCTGCTAAGAACCAGAAGGTAAATGAAGCTTCAGAAAGCATTTAAGAAAAAAACAAGCCCTTTTGTCCACTAATTAAGTGCCACTACAAGAGGTAATGAACAGCAAAAGATAAAAATTTAGTTTTAGAATTTTCCACAGAATATGAATAATCTCTTTATTCTATTATTATTGGTGCCAAAATAATGGTTCTGTGGAATATATCTAATGAGATGCTAAAGGACCATTATGAAAATCTTTAATGAACATGGTCTAGTGGTTTTATAAAACTAATACACAGTCATCTTTGGGTATTGGCTCTAGGACCCATACATCTACCAAGATTTGTGGATGCTCAAATCCTTTAATAGAAAAAAAGATGTAGCAGCCAGGTGCCGGTGGCTCACTCCTGTAATCCTAGCTATTCAGGAGGATCGTGGTTTGAAGCCAGCCTGGGCAAATAATTCTTGAGACCCTATCTTGAAAAAACCCATCACAAAAAAGGGCTGGGATAGGGCTCAAGGTATAGGCCCTGAGTTCAAGTCCCTGTTATCACCAAAAAAAAAAAAAAAAAAAAAAGAAATAAGATGTAGCAAAGCTGGCCATGGTGGCACACACCTATAATCCCAGCATTTAGGAGATTGAGACAAGAAGATTGTGAATTCAAGGCCAACCAGGCTACATAGCAAGATTCTTGTCTCGAAAAAACAAAACAAAAAATGTTGTAGCATAAAATCCATGCATATCTTCCCATATTCATTAAATCATCTCTAGCTTTCTATGTAATGCAAGTAAATAGTTGTTACAATATATTATTCAGGGATTCTGTGACAAAAAGGTCTGTATGTGTTTGGTTCAGATCTAATTGTTTTTCAAGTATTTTCACTTCTTGGTTGGTTTAATTTGTGAGCATAGAACCCATGGATAAGGAAGGTGACTGTAGCTGGAAGGCAAAGGAATTTTAAAACTGGAGTTTTAAGGTAAACTTGGCCTTTCAAAGCCCTGATGAAGAAACTTTAGCAATACCTTAGTATTACTTCTGAGCTAAAGTGAAATGGCACTTTAGTAAACACAATCCACTCCTTTGTTAACACCCATTTATTTAAAAATAGTAAAAACTTTAAAAAGAAAGGATTAAGACTTAACTGCATGCAAGAAAAGATTTCGAATGGGGGAAAAATCAATTAAATTTGACTAACTAGGTTCTGTTATGACTAAAAAGCCCTGCAATATGGATACACACAGAAAAGGCCCTATGAGGGTACTATTTTGGTACCCTAAGCAGGGTTGCACTAGTCTTGCTCAACAAGGAATCCCCACACCAACCATAATATACCTTTTGCAAACAAGAATCAATAAAATATGTGTTAAATTAACGAAATGTTTCCCCTCTGGTTTAATTCTCACTCAAACGCACTGGTCTTATCTTTGGTCTTTGTTTTTTCTAATATATCTTCCACAGTAACTATGTTTTGCTTCTCAAAAGCCCAGAAAAAGATCTCATACTCTTGCCATAACAGCAATCCATTTCATGAAGAGTAAGTATCACTAAGGTCTCTTTGTGATATAGATTATGCCTCCCTTTCCATCCTTACATTTGAGTTATGCTTTCTATACTCACACGTCATTTACTTTTCTGCAAATCGATAATGCCTTTCTTCACTCTTACCCGTAGTATCTAGACACAATTTAACACAATCCTTTTGCAAAACGTACAAATTTTTTGTTCCTTATGTACATATTTCACAGAACACTAGCACTCTCATCCTGAAGAACTGAGGAATTCTTATTCTCTTTTAAATCGCCAGTACAGTGCTGACATGAAATAAAAGGTCAGTAAATATCTGTGGCATAAATTTTAAAAAGGTAAGAAAATAATGTTTCATGGGCAACAATTATTGATTATTCTACCTAAACGAAAGAGAGATTTCTTAAGAATGTGCCCCAAGAGAAATAAGATTTTGGGAAAGGGACTCAATAGCAGGTACAACTATATCCATGATCAAACACAATATAGCATGGGAAGACATCAGTGAATATTTTTAAAGACAAAAGGAAGTAGAACATAACAGGACAAACCATGAGTGCACAACCACTTCATCTTCCAGTTGATCTCAAAACTGTGATTTTGTTCATGAATGAACAAAAATCTTAGGATGTCATATTTAAAGGTACTTCCAAAGTTAGCAGACTGAAAATAATTTCTAGACAAGTGTGGTGAGGGATGCCTACAATCTCAGAACTGGGGAGGCCAAGGCAGGAGGGTCATGAATTTGAGGCCAGCCTGGGCTAGAGTGAAACCCCACTTCAAAACAAAACTAACAACCAAACAAAAATCTTTATAATGATAACTCACAAACTTACTTCTTCAGACAAAGCTCTGAGATCCAAACTTAATAGATCCAACTGCTTACTTGCCATCTTCAATTAATATCCCTCAGGCTCTCAAGAATCCATTCTTCGTCTCAAATGGAATCTACCTATCTGTTCAAGACAGAAACTCAATGGCATCCCTGTCTTTCTTCTTGAATCCTCTTCATTTTCTAAGCCTCCTCTAAATCTACCACCAAGTGATTTTGATTCTATCTTGCTAACCACTTGATTTCTACTGCTACCATCCTATTCAGGGCAATGACAACTCCTTTCTGCATTACAGCAGCAAGTTCCTTACAACCTCTGTCACTTTTGTTAAGCAAACATATTTCACCTAAAGGAAAAATCAGAACTTATGCATTTCCCTCTGTTTAAGACTCTTTAATACTGTCCATTTTAATTTTGAGTAAAATGAAAACCATTATCCACAAGGATTATGTCATTTCACTATGCTTACATTTCCAATCTCATTGTTCTCATTCTACTTACCTCTCACCCTCCACATTATACTCATTAGCTCTCCAACAATTTAAGGTTGCTTAACTCCCTCTTACATCAAGGAACTTAAAAATGAGATTGTTGCAAGGTGCTGGTAGTACAGGCCTATAATCCTAGCACTCCAGGAGGCAAAAAAGTCAGGAGGATCACAATTTCAAGGCCAACAGAGCTACATAGTAAGACTCTGCCTCAAAACAAAACAAAGCAGCATCAGATTGCTACATGCAGATCATTTTTCATCCTTTTCATTTAATTAGTCCAGACTGGACCATGATCTTCCTATTTACGTTTCTCTCATAGTTAGCATCACAGGTACATGCCACCACGCTCAGAATTTTGTTGGTGAACTTTTTGCCCAGGCAGGCCTTCAGCAGTGATCTTCCCAATCTCTAGATCTCCAGTAGCTAAAATTATAGGCCAGAGCTACTGAGCCCAGCTAAATAATACTTTTATTAAAAAAGTATACCTGGGTCATATTATACACTTAAATAGTTAATAAATAATCAAATGGGTTCCTTGGTTTTACTGCTCTATTAGAAATTACTAAGATGGGTGCTGGTGGCTCACGTCTGCAATCCTAACTACTTGGGAGGCTGGTATCAGGAGGATCAAGGTTTGAGGCCAGTCTAGATACACAGTTTGAAGACCCTGATCTCCAAAGTAACCAGACCAAAAAATGGACTGGAGGTGTGGCTTGACCCAGAGTTCAAACACCAAGGAAGGGGAAGGGAAAGACAAAAGGAAAGGAGAGGAGAAAGGAGAAGAGGAAGGAGGGGAGGGGAGAGGAGGAGAGGGAAGAGAAAGAGAAGGGGCAGAGGGAGGAAGAAAACAATTACTAAGAACATTATTTTGTTGCAAAGGAAAGATAAAATAAGATTTGTGGAAAAGAAATCTGATAGTCACCTCAGTATCATCCACTGCTGCTTTTCCTGAGGGTGGTTTGAATGATGCAAGCATTTCTAGTAAGTCAAAAAGAGTAGTTAAATGAGGTTCTTGTAGAAGCAAAAGCATCGGAATGTTGTCCTTCTGAGGGGGTGGCAGGCAAGATGCAGGCAGCTGAACACCTTCCCCTTTTCGTTCTCTCCTAGGTGCACCCAAAGATACAAATACCATCTACCAAAAGAGGAGAAACAGAAAAAAAAAAATCACATATATCAAGTTTTTTGTTTAACAAATCAATAAAAATGAAGTGTAACTCTAAATTTTAATATGACAAAAGTGTAAGAATTTTAGTGTAAAACAGACCTTTGACTATTCTATTATTGACAGATAATTAAAACTCAAATTACAATTTATATATGTACCTGCATATCCTTAAAACCAAGTTCATGAAGTGCTTTTTCATCATAATCTGTTGTTAACTCATGTCCAGATGAAATCATCCTGACAGGTCCCATGAGGCCTCCTGAAAACCAGCAGAAAAGGGAATTAAATTTGTTGTAAGAGTTAATTCATTTGCTAACAATACATAGGTAGAGCAATTAAATCCACTACATGTTAACCTTAAATATAATTGAGAGAAATAGAGACAGTACTAAAAACCAACCACTTAAAAACTAACTTTTCTCTTTATACAAATAAGAAAATTAAACACAATAAAAAATATATTTCCAGCAGTAAGATTCATTTTGTCAATGTCCTTAAGATACAACTATTGTGTAGCTAACCTATAATTCTATCCCTTACCATTATTTCTAAGTCTAGAAGTCTTGGTCTTGTCAAATGATTAATCTGCAATCATATTTTCTTCTGGACTTTCTTATGCTTATTTTATAAATATAAAAATGGTATTTCAAACATATCTTACTGGAAGAAATAGTAGCTGGATGGAGTGGAATGCACTTGTCATCCCAAACTACTTGGGAGGCTGAAATCAGGAAGATAGTGGTTCCAGGCCAGGTGAGACTCCCATCTCAAAGGAAAAAAGTTGGATGTGGTGGTGCACACCTGTCATCCCATCAATGACAAAAAGCATAAAATAGGAGGATGTGGTTCAGAGTAAAAAGGGCTAGAAGAATGGCTCAAGCAGTAGAGTGCCTGCCTCACATGTACAAACCCCTGAGTCGAAACCCCAGTAAGGCAATAAGAAGAAGAAGAAGAAGAAAAACAATGCTTTCCTTTTCCTCACCCAAATTATACAAGTTATATATTAAACACCATGTTACAAGAAAGTTCACTTTTAGCACCAGTCAGATCAGTTCCTACTTTCTTAAAAATATGATTAAAAAAAGAACTTTCTGGGAATCTATAGCACTGCCCTCAGCAAAACATACAAAGGAATCAGATTCCTTAATTATTTCATTTAGTATTTTTAATGACTGAGCTCTCTCCTGTTACTACCCAACCAATCAAAGCAAAAACCACAATGGAGCGGAAAATAAAAATCTCATGTGAGGAAGAAAAACCACAAAACCCTACAACCTTTAAGATACATTAGTTTATTCAAAAAAGTAATTTACTCGGAAGACTACTTTATTCAATAAACTCATTGGAGGCAATTTATTTGTAGAACAGATGAACTCCTTTTGTTGCCTATAGCTTTAACTTTAATTTCTACCACCTTCCCTACCTCACAAACAATGTTTCAATCATCAGTCCTCCTTGCCCTTTCTTGAAAGCATATTCCTATGTTGAGAACTAAAATGTTCTTACCAGGAGTTCACAGGGCTTATACCCTCATTTCCTTCAACTCTCTCATCAGATTAGAGCTTCCTTTTAATCATTCAACCTAAACAATGTCATCTCACTATTACCCTTTTACTATACTTTAACTACCTTTAAAGCACTCATTTGAACATGACATCACATGCTTTGTATGTCTCTCCTCAAAGTAACAAAATCTGTCCCAGTTTCAACAAGGCAGGGATGTCTTTTTTATATTTACAGATGAACACCAGGCACTAGAAAATAGTAGACATTCAAATGAATTGTTTAAAAAAACCAAACAAACAGAAGTTGCTTTAATAGAGTAGTAAACAAGCAAAATCATGAAATGTCTCCTGAGAAATTTAATCAAAATTTTAACTGTGCATTGAATTTTATGCAGTGTTACTTTTATCTGTCTCTCTGTCTACTTCCTTACCTACCTGTTTTACAATGTTAGAGAATCAAACCCAGGGCACTGCATATGTTAGGCAAGCACTCTACCATTCAGTTAAACTCCCAGGCTTGAATTTTACTGACTTAATAATATTTATTAATATTCATTAACACTTTATTTTCACTTATTTAATACCATATATTATTTATATTAATAATATACACAAATTACATTTATTAATATAAAAAACTTCCCTGAATGTGAAATAACTTCCTTTTTTAAAGACTAATGAGTGAGGAGGACTACTACTTTCCATTATGACACATCTTAAAATTTCTTTTCAAACAAATGAGAAAATTAAATCGAACAAAAAAATTGGTATCCCCAAGAAGGTTCATTTTTGTAATTTCCCTAAAGTATACATGTTGCACAGCTATATCTATGATTAATTCCTTTACTATTACTTCTAAGCCTACAAGTTTTGGTCCTGTAAAATGACTGATATATATTCAATTCTATTTTTATTGTTGATTACAAACATACCCTAAACTAAGTTTTTCTTTTTCTTCCAAAATTGACCAAGTCACGTATCGATATATTATGACTATTTCTGAGTTACCCATTATTTATTATTTACTTACCAATTCCTTCACCAAAATCTTATTACCATAGTTTAAAATGTTCAATAGGTAGCCAAGAAATCTACTTCCCTAATATCCTTTTAGTTTTTCCTAGCAGAATTTTTGATATTGCTGAATTTATTCATCAAAACAAAAATTCTACTGGTATCTCCAGAAAAAAAATACTGAAAAATAAATTAATTTGACATCTCTAAAATATTCAGTATACAGAAATGCTAGGAATGTCCATTTACTCTACTGTTCATTTATATATCTCAAACATTTTATTCTCATGTAATTCACAAAAATTAGTATTATAACATTTTAAATTGCTATGGAGCACTTGATTTCTCTAGTTTGCTAATCGGTATTATACTATTCACTAATGAAAACTGAGTTCTCTCCCAAAAGTTATCATTTAGTATAATGTAAAACTAGAAAAAAATTGAATGCTTATAAAAATAAGAGTATGGATGTATAGAAACTATATTAAGCTTTTAATATTTCAGATAATTTTATTAAATGGCCATTCTAACTTGCTAAAATTAATTATATATATCATTGACCTTTGTATTATTAAAACACAAGTGATCATGATGTACTGATAAAATAAAACAAAATTTTAAAACAAACTTTGTCTCTTGAGTCTGTTATGCCATGGCCCTGATGTTTGCAACCTCCAGAACTGAGAAATAAATGTGTGTTGTGGATAAACTACTCAGTTTATGGTAGTCTGCTACACCAGCCCGGATGACTATGATAACATATTAATGTTAACAGGTGAAGTAGATTCCACGATAAATTGTACCATTTACTATCAGTACTTTTTAAAAATTATTATTTTAATGTGGGAGTGGGGTTTGAACTCAGAGCTGCAATGCTTCCAAAGCAGGTGCTCTACTGCTTAAGCCACACCTCCAGTCCATTTTACTCTGATTATATGGAAATGGGGTTAGGACGTGTTGTCTCATGAACTATTTGCTTAGGCTAGCCTCAAACAGTAATCCTACTGATTTCACCCTCTCAAGTAGCAAACATTACAAGCCTGCGCCACCAATACCAACTATCACTTATTACTTTTTGAGAAGGTATCTTTCGTTAACGTTCCAGAAAGAATTCTTGCCTGTTAAAAAATCTTGGTGTAATGAATGTTCCAAAGCAAAAAAAAAAACAAAAAATCTTAAAAATTCTTAGGTTATAGTAACTGGAACAGTACACCTGTAATTTTTAATGTTTAAAACTCTAATGACAATGTAAGTTTAAAAATTTTTTACAGAAATTAACTGACAAGGAAAAAGCAGGAAGAAACCATACCAACAAACTTTAAGATGTAAACCAAAATAAAAGTGTGGTGACTACAAAAAGATAAATAGCAAACCAGAGACAGGCTCATATTCTAAATATGCTTTGACAGGAAGAAAAGCAACATCTGGCAACGTTACAATCCTCGCACCCTCCCAGGAAGAAAAAAGAGAGAGGAAAAAGGGAATGAAGAAACAGTGCCTCAGTGATTTGTGAGGCATTATTAGTCTAGGCACATTTATATCTAGGCTTAGATATTAAAAGGGTGAGGGGAAAAGAAAAAGAAAATATTAAGAAATTTGTAATTGCCATTATGAACTCATAGTTAAACATACAAGGCACATGTATAAAATTGCTGAAAAAAATCCATGTTATAGGAAAAATCTTTAATAGCAACCTGGGGTTGGGAGAGATACTGGATACACATTATAGAAAATATGGAGAAACCCAGACTCTGAGTCACAAACTATGCAGGCCAGATGATGAGAACAGTATTTGTAAAGTCTTAGAAGAAAAAAACTATGATCTATACTCCTGTGTATAATGAAAATATCCCTCAAAATTAAGGCAATGTCACTTGCTACTCAGGTTACCCAGGAAGTAGAGATCAGGAGGATTGCAGTTTGATCTAGCCTAAGCAAAAAGGTTGCAAGACCCCTTCTCAAACAATAAAAGCAGGGCATATGTCTGTCATCTTAGTTATGCAGGAAGTATAAATATGAGGATAAAGGTCCAAGCTGGTCTAGGCAATAAACAGGAGACCCTATTAAATAAATTACTAAAGCAGCACAATCTATGTATCTAGATATAGTAAAAGGGTAAGAGAGTGATGGAAGTAATATCAAAATACACAATATACTGTTTCTACCTATGAAGATGGCATAAGGAAATCCAGTAAAAGCAGTTGAAAAATAAAGAGGTGGGTGGAATTGAACAAGAGAATGAGAGAGACTTAATTGGGTTAAAGTATACTATATGCATCTGTGAAATGCCACAGTGAAACTCCTATATGCAATTAACATACACTAATAAAAAAAGTGAAATACTATGTTCAAAATAACCAAGCAAGGATAGAACACCTGCCTAGCAAGTGCAAAGCCTTGAATTCAAACCCAAGTACTGACAAAAAAAAAAAAAGGGGAAAATAAACATTTTTATGAAAACTGTTTTCTTACAAACAAAAGCTTGAGGAAATTCATAACCAAAAGACTTGCAGCACAAAGTTTCAAAGGAAGTTCAGTAGAAAGAAGAAAAAATAAAAAAAAGAAATGAAACCAACTTTAAATCTACATATAGGAATAAAAAGTACTAAAAGTAGTAAATACACTGTAAAAGGGGAAAAGAAAAAGAAATAGAACACAATTAGGTAATTACATTAAATGTAAACTAAATTAAGAGTAAACAAACTAAATTAGAAGAAAATACCTGAACCTCAAAAAGATATTTCAACCATGGAAGTATCAGGATAGGACAGGATTTATAATTCAAATGGTAGAGCACCTACCTATAAGAAGGCCTAAGAATGAGGCCTTCAGTTGTACCTCAGTACTGCAAAAAAAAAAAAAAAAAAGTGCTTTTGGGGGTGGAGGTGTGGCTCACATGATCATGACTATAATCCTAGCTACTTGGGAGGCGGAGATTTGGGAGGATGCCAGTTGGAGGCGAGTTTACCAGACTCCATCTCACCCAATAAAAAAGTGGGTGTGGTGGCACACGCCTGTCATCCCAGCTACACAGGATATATAAATAGAAGGATCGTGGTTAAAGCTGGCCTGGCATAAACACGTGACCCTATCCCCCACCCAAAAAAAGTAAAAAGGGTGGTAGGGAGGGGGATGGCTCAAAATGGTAGCCCACCTGACTAGCAAGTGTAAAGCCCTGAATTGAAACCCCTGTAAAGCCTCCCCAAAGAATTCTCAGAAATGAAACATAGGACATAACTGATAATTAGGAACAGTTCAAAACATAAAATGTCTAAACAACAGAATTGTTCTGGAAAGAGAAAAATGATAAAATAGAAGAGAAGAAATCTATGCACCAATTCAACATTTTCCCAAACTGAAAGATACATGCTGCCAAACTGAACAGGACCATTAAATGCTCAAGTACTACAATGTTTGAAAACAGACTGATAAAGAGTCCCAACATATTTCAGATGGTATGGTTGGACAAAGAAAGGATTAATAAAGGATTGTAAGAGAAAAAAATGTTATGTAAAAAACATCAAAAATCAGAATGGCTTCCAGAGTTTCAATAACAACAGTGGAACAAAACCTCTAAATTCTGAAACAAAATTATTCTCAATCTAGAATCTATACCGGGCTAAATTATCATTTAGGTATGAACACGAGATTTGTTTCTTTTAACCTTGAAAGACAAGGTTTCCGAAAGCAAAGGGGGAAAAAAAGTGGGGGTTGGAGGAGTGGCTCAAGTGGAGTGCCTAGCAAGCATGAGGCCCTGAGTTCAAACCCCAGTAATACTGGAAAAAAAAAAAAAAAATTGGAAGAACCCAATCTAGTTCTGAACTCCTAAGCTCAAGCAATCCTCTTGTCTCAGCCTTGAGTAGCTGGGACCATAGGTACACTCCCCCAAGCCCCAGCTCAAAGGTAAATGAAGTAAGGTATCATATCTTTACCTCATTAACCTTTCAAGAAGCTACTAGGTATCACAAACTGTCTTAATAAAGGTTATTTTAAAGTTCCTAATCCTTGCCTCCATATACCAGCTTGAATTAACAAACGACATTTATTTCATCTTATAGAAAGTTTTCTGAGAGTTACTGTAGGTCATGAAAAGGGAGGGAGGGAGGGAAGAAGGGAGGGAGGGACTGAGGGAAGGAAGGAGGGACGGAAGGAAGTAGGGAGGGAGGGTAGTAAGGAAGGAAAACCTATGACCCTATTTCTGTTGGATATTCCAGGACTTCACCAGTATTATAGCCTTAAGATATGTCTTAACTGGGCTGAGACCTATTCTTGAAAACTTCCCCATTAGTATCTTCAGATGAGGCTTTATAAAATCTATGGACCCAAAACTCAAGATAGTGTTTAGGGACAACAGAAAGGGTATTTTAGGGAAGAACACATGATTATCTATTACTAACGTTCAGGTTCATTCGGTTATAGGAACATGAGGTGTCATTTTACTATTATTCATTTCACACATTCTTTTTTAAGGTATAACACACTTCAAAAAAATTAAATTTCTGGCTTTTGGTCAGAAATTCCGTACCTACATACTTATACAGTATATGTAAAATAATGTTATACACACGGATATTCCCTGTAGCATTATTTTGAAACAGCAAAAATGAAGGATCACAGTCAAAGGCTAGCCTGGAAAACTTTAATGAGATACTGTCCCAAAAAATAAAACTAAATCCAAGGGTGTGGCTCAAGGGTATGCCTGCCTAGCAAAGCATGAGGCCCCGGGTTAAAACCCCAGTGTGGCCAAAAATTAATTAAATTATAAAAGAGCCGCTACTGTAGCTCATTGATAGAGCAGTTAACAAGAATGCACAAGGCACCAGATTCAATCCTCAGCACCTTAAAAAAAGAAAGAAAAAAACAAGGAACTAACCTAAAGGCCAATTAACAGAAAAGAGGTAAAATAAACCAAGGTGAAGACTATGTAGCTCTCAGATCTCAAAAAGAATGAGGTAACTTCTGTATATACTAATATGAAATGTTTTTTAAGATACTGTTAAGCACTACGAGCAAAGAGGAGAGTATACATGCAATGACACCATTTAAGCTTAAATATGCATAAATTCACACATTAGGTCTTGGAATCTCTTAAAGAATATATGTGAAATAGGTAACAATGTATCTCAGGAAAAGGGAAATAAGTTGTTTAGAGATGGGGGTAAAGGAGAAGACTTTTATACATACTAAAAGATGTGTCCAAGTAGGTTAAGAGGATCCCAAGAAGCAGCATTTAAAACTTTTAAGATCTTTTTGCTAAATATATATACAGGTTGATGATCTCTTATCTAAATATGAACTGGCTAAGAATCCTTTATAAAAGATATACAAGATGAGTACTTCCATATATCCAAAAGTGATTTCAGAATTTTTCAGGTTTTAGAGTATCTTCCTAGACTTTACTAGTTGAGCATCCAGAATCAAAACTATCAAGATCTGGGGCAGGGAACAGTGGCTGATGTCTATAATCCCAGCTATCTGAGAGGTGGAGATCTGGAGGGTCATGGTTCGAGTCTGGCCTGGCAAAAAGTTCACAATATCCCATGTCAACTAATGGCTGGATGTAGAGTCAAGTACCTGTCATCCCAGCTGTGCAGGGAAGCATAAATAGGATGACTGTGGTCCAAGCCAGCCTGGATGTAAAGCAGGACTTTATCACAAAAATAACTATAGCAAAAAGAGTTGGCATCTTGACTCAAGTGGTAAAGCACCAATCTAGCAACCATGAGGACCTGAGTTCAAGTCCCAGTACCATCCCCCACCAAATAAAATAATATATACATCAATAAGGCAGAAAATCATGGAAATTTAAATTTATCAGTAATTCTCAGCCAGGTGCTGGTGGTGCACACCTGCTACTTGGAAGGCTGTGATCAGGAAGATTGCAGTTCCAGACTCCATCTCCAAAATAACCAAAATGGCCTGGAGGTGTAATTCAAGCAGTAGAATGTCTTCCTTGCAAGCATGAAGCCCTGAGTTCAAATCCTTATCCCACTCAAAAAAAATCCTGAAATACTTATCAGATAAATTCTAAAAAGATTTTTAACATTACAACCAACTAAATATTTTTCTGAGGAACAATGAATGCTTACAATATCTAAAACAATTCTTAACAACTTTTTACCTAAAAAATAGTACCAAGAGGAGGGGAATGTGGATAGTGTTAGACCAAAGAAAGATTTACTAACTGCTGCTATGGTCTAAATGTTATTATCTCCTCCGAAAATTCATTTTGAAACTTAATACACTGTGCAAAACAGAATGGGAGGTGGAACCTTTTGTGGAGCTATTTAGATCATGAGGGCTCCAACTGAAGAAGTTTGCTTTTGATCCTTGTCTTCTGCAATTCAAAGGAGCAATGTTGACGGTACCTTATCTTGGAAGCAGAGAGCAGCCCTGACTAGATTCTGGCACTTTGATACTATACTTTTCAGCCTCAAGAACAGTGAAAAATAAATTTCGGTTGATTATTAATTACCCTGCCTGGGGGATTCTGTTACATCATCACAAAATGAACTAGGACAGTTGCTAAACGAAGAACCTAGAACAAAGTAAAAATCTGAACTTTTGGACTTACCAGGAAACTCCCTTTTCTGCTGCTTTGACCAAACTCCTGAAGTGAGCTTGTTGATTTATTTGTTCTTTCTGCAAATTTTCATACCAATGAGTTACTTCAGCCCTAAGATCTGCTACCTGGTCACTAGGATACATTTCAATAGTCATCTGAAATATGAGATGCAACCAATATAAAAATATTAAATTTAAAAAAATTAAAAAGCAATAAGCAGATTTCTGAACTTAGAAATCTTACGAATTTTGAAATTAAAACTCTATACCTACCTTGTCAGGAAGTCCAGCTGGCTGGCATACAACCCTTAAGGGCAAAGACTGTTTGTCACTCAGTGCTTTCAAGTGACTACTAATACCAGTGCCTTCAATTTGCCACTGTCTCAGATGATATGCAAACCTAAAATAAGACAAAAAAAAACACACACAAAGGATACCATTTTAATGTTACAGAAAAATGTCTACAGCCACTTCTAACATACCAATTTACAGCACCAAATTTAAGTTAAGATTCATTAGTGGAAATCAAATTTAATGCATAAATATAGCTAAGAGCTCCTAAAAAACAAAGTCTCCAAGAAAAATTAATGC